GAATTGTGGCACTTGAAGTCCAAAACACCTGGAGGGCTGATGTTTGCCCATGCCTGCTCTAGTCTGTTGCAGTTACTCAAGTGAGGTTGCCTTATTAATAGAATCATAGAATCAAAGAGTTGGAAGAGACCTCATGGGCCATCCAGTCCAACCCCATTCTGCCAAGAAGCAGGAATATTGCATTCAAATCACCCCTGACAGATGGCATCCAGCCTCTGTTTAAAAGCTTCCAAAGAAGGAGCCTCCACCACACTCCGGGGCAGAGAGTTCCACTGCTGAACGGCTCTCACAGTCAGGAAGTTTCCACCTCCACCAGATGGAATCTCCTTTCTTGTAGTTTGAAGATATGACCGTACAACTGTTCTTCCTAATGTTCAGATGGAATCTCCTCTCCTGTAGTTTGAAGCCATTGCCCCTCGTCCTAGTCTCCAGGGAAGCAGAAAACAAGCTTGCTCCCTCCTCCCTATGACTGCCTCTCACATATTTATACATAGCTATCATGTCTCCTCTCAGTCTTCTCTTCTTCAGGCTAAACATGCCCAGCTCTTTAAGCCGCTCCTCATAGGGCTTGTTCTCCAGACCCTTGATCATTTTAGTCGCCCTCCTCTGGACACATTCCAGCTTGTCAATATCTCTCTTGAATTGTGGTGCCCAGAATTGGACACAATATTCCAGGTGTGGTCTAACCAAAGCAGAATAGAGGGGTAGCATTACTTCCTTGTTATAAGGGGTGGTCTCTACCTGTGGGATGGAGAAACCTTTCCTTGCATATAGATTGACCAAGATGCAAAAAAATTAAATTAAAACCCCCATATTTTGTGTTGAAACCCCTTCATTAAAAGCAGATATTTGTTTATGGTAATGTATGGATGCAGACTTAATTTTGCAGAGAAGTACAGGGCTAAGTTACAAAGAAATTGGTAATTTGCAACAAGAGATAATCTATTGAAAATATGAGAGGGAAAAGACTTCCTCCTGCTTTGAAGTGTGGTGGAGTCTCCATCTTTGGAGATTTGTAAGCAGAGGCTGGATGACTATCTGCCAGGAAGGCTTTGACTGTGTTTCCCTACATGGCAGAATTGGGTTGGACTGGATGACCTTTGGGATCCTTTCCCAAGCCTATGAGTCTACGAATTGGCCTTCTACAATACTTTGTTGTTGTTGTTCTTGCTGCTGCTGCTGTTAAGTTGGGTTAGGAATGCAATTCAATAGAAAACTGGATTTAATGTTCCATAATTTGAAAACCAGAAGAAGCCTCCTTTAGTTGAGTTATATTGACATGAGCCGGAGGGAAAAGGGACACTTTGTTTACTGTGAATGTCATGAATTTACTCAGAGGTAAATCCCCTTCCATTCAATATGCCTTTCCCCAAAGGATCAGGGCCCATAGCCGGTTCCAGGATTTCTAGTATGTATTTCACATACTAGAAATAACAACACACAGAGAGACCGGTATATATTACTGCCTAAATTTGAATTGTATTATATGCAATTAGGCACCACTTGCACTGCCAGGGCTCCATACTATGCAATGGTGGGAGTTGTAGTTTTACCAGCTCTGCCTACCAAAGGGTGTTGATGCCTCAGCAAAACTCTCTCTGTGTGTAGATATGTAAATATTTATAAGTAAATATATATCTTTTATCATGAAATAAATTATACATATGCGTGTGTGCCTATATATATTCCTATAAATGGAAATATGTATAAATATGTGTATATAGATATATGTGTATATAGATTTATATATTTTATTTTTAATTTTTATTTATTTACATTTTATTTAAATTAATAAATAAATATAAAACATATATGTATCTACAAATCTATACATACACACACACATATTATATATCTACATATATAATATGCATGTATATAGATTTTTATTTTTATTTATTTTAATAAAATAAATAAATAAAATTATTGTATTTAAATAAATAAATATTTTTATTTATTTACATTTTATTTAAATTAATTAATAAATATAAAAACATATGTGTGTTTTTCTATAATATATATATACACATATATCTATGTTTATATTTATTTATTGGTTTAAATGAAATGTAAATAAAACATTTATTTATTTAAATAAAATAATTTTATAAGATTTATATACACATATGTGTATGTACATGTGTGTGTACATGTGTGTGTGTGTGTATCCGCCAATCAGGCAGAAGCCCCTCTGTTTATAAGTAAACTGAATGATTTATGTGTGTGTGTATGTAAGTAAGTTATTATGTGTGTGTAAGAACGATCTCTCTGTGTGTGTGTATAATTACTTACAGACACATATATACACACACACACTCATATATCATTCAGCTTTGCTGATTTGTGCTTATATATATATATACATACATTGTATGTATATATATACATATATATATACATACATTATATATCAACTGTGCTGCTAAGAAAAAGATCTACGCCAGTACAAAAGCTGAGGTCCAAAGAAGGACAAGAGAACTCAAGAACATCTGGTGGACAAAGAAGGCTGAAGAAATCCAACACCTGGCAGATACCCATAATGCTCAGGGATTTTTCAAAGCCACAAAGGTCATCTACGGACCAAGAAACCATGGCATACAGCCTCTACGCTCATCAGATGGAACCAAACTCCTGAAGGACCAAAACTCAATTGCACTACGTTGGAAAGAACACTACCAAAGCCTCCTGAACCGCAGCTCCAATGTGGCCGAAGAGGTTCTCTCACAAATCCCACAACAACAAACCAGGGATGAGCTTGCAGCACTGCCTAGTTTGGAAGAAGTCAGCAATGCCATCAGCCAACAAAAAATAACAAAGCCAGCGGACCTGATGGGATCCCTGCTGAAATCTTTAAAGAGGGAGGACCTGAGCTGATGAATTTGAAGAGGCACGAATGGATAGCAGATTTCAAGGACGCCACCATCATCACCCTCTTCAAAAAAGGGGAAAGAACAGACTGTGGAAACTACCGAGGTATCTCCCTTCTAACCTCCGCTGGGAAAATCCTCGCAAGATATACATACATACACGTATATATACATGCACATACATTGTACATATATATATATACACACATACACAACAATATACATACACATATATATCGTGTAAGTAAGTAAAAGTGCAAACCAATCAACCAATACAAGCAATGCAAACAAAGCAACAAACACACATGCATACTTTGGCTTTTATAGATATAGATAGATAGGCATGCAAATACACACAGAGAGACCGGTATATATTAATTATATTGATCTTGTAGCTCTGCCGTTGGAGAGCGGCTTTGTCTTGATTGCTGCGAATGCATATTGACTTCTTTTTGACACCTGTCCGTTAATAATATCCGAGGTCCAGTTAGAACACGAGTCAGAATGACGCCACACTGAAGAATTGATGCAGTTTGATTCCACTTGAACTGCCAAGGCTTGTTTGTATGGAATCGTGGGGACTGTAGTATAATGAGGCACCCTTTGGAAGAGAAGACCTTGAGAACTACAAACTTCCAGGATTTCCGGGGCATTGATTGCGCCATGGAGGTTGAAATGGTGTTTCAACCCGACTTATTTTTGTAGTGTAGGCGCACTTTTTATCGTACAAAAAAAAAAAGGGGGGGGGGGAATTTGCAGCCAAGGGTTCCGAATCAGCCCGCGTTCACACGAGATCCGAATCTTCTTCTTCCTCCCGTAAAGAGCTCGACTTCGGACGCATCTACACGGGACAAATGGGCGCAGTTCGAGCCCACTTTAGCTGCCATGGCTCCTTGCTTTGGGATCCTGGGAGCTGGAGTTTCACAAGTTCTCCGCCCAAAAGTGATGGTGGAACTCAACAAACGACAGCCCTTGGGATTCTCTTAGGAATTGTAGTCCTGTACCTTCTCTGCCAGGGCCTCACCAAACTACAACTCCTGGGGGGCCCTAGCATTGAGCCAGGAAAGTTTAAAGCGGTGCCAAGCTGTTTTCAATCCATAGAGGCTTGACACTACTTTAGGCTCAATGCCATTATGAAATCCTGAGAGTTGTAGTCCTGATCTTTCCCTGCCAGGGCCTCACTCCCAGGATCCCCTAGCATTGAGCCAGGGAAGCTGTGCCAAGCTGCTTTCAATCAACAGAGGCTTGGCACCACTTTAGGCTCAATGGCATTATGAAATCCTGGGAGTTGTAGTCCTGAGCCTTCTCTGCCAGGGCCTCACCAAACTACAACTCCCAAGGTCCTCTAGCATTGAGCCAAGAGTGTACCAAGCTGCTTTCAAGCATGGAGCCAGGGAAGTTTAAAGCTGTGCCAAGCTGTTTTCAATCCGTAGAGATTTGGCACCGCTTTGGGCTCAATGTCATTATGAAATCCTGGGAATTGTAGTCCTGAACCTTCTCTGCCAGGGCCTCACCAGACTACAACTCCCAGGATCCCCTAGCATTGAGCCAAGAGTATGCCAAGCTGCTTTCAAGCACTGAGCCAGGGAAGTTTAAAGCTGTGCCAAGCTGTTTTCAATCCATAGAGGCTTAGCACCACTTTGGGTTCAATGTCATTATGAAATCCTGGGAGTTGTAGTCCTGAGCCTTCTCTGCCAGGGCCTCACCAAACTACAACTCCCAGGATCCCCTAGCATTGAGCCAGGGAAGTTTAAAGTGGTGCCATGCTGCTTGCATTCCATAAAGCAGAGAGGAATATCCTTTCCCCGCCAGGTTTCTTTCTTTCTTTCCTTCCTTCCTTCCTCCTTTCTTTCTTTCTTTCTTTCTTTCTTTCTTTCTTTCTTTCTTTCTTTCTTTCTTTCTTTCCTTCCTTCCTTCCTTCCTTCCTTCCTTCCTTCCTTCCTTCCTTCCTTCCTTCCTTCCTTCCTTCCTTCCTTCCTTTCTTTCTTTCTTTCTTTCTTTCCTTCCCTCCCTCCCTTCCTTGCTTCCTCCAGAGGCACAGAAAGAGCTCGGGAGCCGGTGACGTCACCGGGACTAATGGGTGTCGTCCTCTCGGTCCGCCTCTGAGTTCAGAGAGAGAGAGAGAGAAAGAGAGAGGAGAAAGGCAGGCAGGCGCGCAAAGCAAAGCACTCGTCTCGAGTCTCGCCTGGAGCGCACGCAAAAGGCGCATTCCTTTCCTGCGCCTGGCCGTGGGCTGAAAGGGGGCAAAGTTTCGGGATAGCCCCCTCAAAGCCAAGCTTGGCCACTCTACCTTGGCTCCAGAAGGAGAACCCACCCCTCAAAGCCGACTTGACCTCTTTTCCCGGGGCTCTAACATATCCCCCCAACCCCCAAAAAGGCAGCGGCGTCCATCCCGATGCGCCTTCCTTTCCCGGTGGATGCGCCAGGTAAGGCTTCTTCTTGGCGTGCCTTCTCGCAGGGCCCACGCGTGTCTGGGTCGGGGTGCGTGGGTTTCGAGGGGAGATGCGTGTCTAGAGAGAAGCAGAGAGAAGACGAAGAAGAGGAAGAAGAAGAAGAGGGGCCGCTTTGGCGCCAAACCGGCTTCTTTGGAGACGGAGACTGCAACAGAATTCTCACATTGGAGTGGACTCTGCCTTGTAGTTTCTACTCGAGAAAAAATCCACTTAAAATCCCGTTTCTGCCTCCTGCAAAATTATGGGGTTTGTAGTTTTAGGCCCCTCTTTAAACTACAAACCCCAGAATTCTGCAAAAGGTAGAAACCGGATTTTAAGTGGATTTTTTCTCGAGTATATCTACAAAAACTACAAGTGGATTTTAAGTGGATTTTTTCTCTAGTGCGATGAACTATATTGTCGAAGGCTTTCATGGCCGGAATCACTAGGTTGCTGTGAGTGTTCCCAGGCTGTCTGGCCATGTTCCAGAAGCATTCTCTCCTGACGTTTCGCCTGCATCTATAGCAGGCATCCTCAGAGGTTGTGAGGTCTGTTGGAAACGAGGAAAATTGAGTTTATATATCTGTGGAATAATGTCCAGGGTGAAAGAAAGAACTCTTGTCTGCTTGAATGTTTGCCTTTTATGTTTGGAATCCGCCCTGAGTCCCTTTGGGGAGACAGAGCGGAATAATAATAATAATAATAATTATTATTATTATTATTATTATTATTATTATTATTATTATTATTATTATTATTTGAAACACAACAAGATGAGTCCACAGCAGACACACTGCTGGCTGTTGTATTGGATCACACGTCGGACACTTCCCATGTGTCTAGGACTATTATGATTATGATTATGATTATGATTATTATTATTATTATTATTATTATTATTGAGGCAAGTGTGAATGCTGCAATTGACCACCTTGATTAGCACTGAATGGCCTTAAAGCTTCAAAGCCTGGTTGCTCCCTGCCTGGGGAAATGATAATCATTCAATGCTAAACAAGGTGATCTATTGCAAAATGCACATTTGCCTCAAGCAGACGAGTTCTTTCTCCCACCCTGGACATTATTCCACAGATATAGAAACCTCACTTGCATTAATGGTCTTGCAGTTTCAAGATCTGGCTGCTTCCTGCCCGAGGGAAATGCTGATCAGTCAATGCTAATCAAGGTGATCCATTGCAACATGCACACTTGCCTCAAGCAGACGAGTTCTTTCTCCCACCCTGGACATTATTCCATAGATATAGAAACATCGCTTGCATTGAATGGTCTTGCAGTTTCGGGATCTGGCTGCTTCCAGCTCGGGGGATATCCTTTGTTGGGAGGTGATTAGCTGGCCCTGGTTGTTTCTTGTTTCTTTGGCAGAGAAGGCTGAAGTCGCCTATATCCATAGCAGGCAGCCCTGGCAGTTCAAGTGGTCATTCTATTGTCTGCTTGAGGCAAGTGTCAATGTTGTAATTGGCTACCTTGGTTAGCTTTGAATGGTCTCGCAACTTCAAGGTCTGGCTGCTTCCTGCCTGGAGAAATCCCTTTTGGGAGATGATTAGCGGGCCCTGATTGTTTATCATCGAATGGCCTTGCAGCTTCAAGGTCTGGCTGCTTCTTGCCTAAAGAAATCCCTTTTGGGAGATGATTTGGCCCTGGTTGTTTCTTGTTTCTTTGAAGAGAAGGCTGAAAATTCCTAAAGCTGTAAATCCCTTTTGGGAGATGATTAGCTGGCCCTGATTGTTTAGCATCGAATGGCCTCGCAGCTTCAAGGTCTGGCTGCTTCCTGCCTGGAGAAATCCCTTTTGGGAGATGATTAGCTGGCCCTGATTGTTTAGCATCGAATGGCCTCGCAGCTTCAAGGTCTGGCTGCTTCCTGCCTGGAGAAATCCCTTTTGGGAGATGATTAGCTGGCCCTGATGGTTTCTTGTTTCTTTGTAGAGGTGGCTGAGATTCCTAAAGCGGTAAATCCCACTGTTCCACAACAGGCAGCCCTGGCAGTTCAATTGATGCCGAACCGCATTCATTCTGTAGTGTAGACTCACCCAGAGATGGGAAAGAAGAAGAGATAGGATAGAAGGAAGGAGGCATCTACATTGTACAATTAACGCAGCTTGATTGATACTGCTATAGAATGTTGTGATTTGTAGTTGTAAGGTTTCGTGAGTCTAATTCTCTTTTAGCAGAAATAAAGCCCTTGTGAAACTACATCTCCCACGACCCGGACCCGATATCATTGAGCCGTGGCAGTGGAAATGGGTTCACACTGCATTCATTCTCCAGTGTTGATATATAGATGCGCCCTTGATGAGAGAAGGAAATGGCTCGCTGTGAGTTTTCCAGGCTGTATGGCCATGTTCCAGAAGCATTCTCTCCTGACGTTTCGCCTGCATCTATGGCAGGCATCCTCAGAGGTTGTGAAGCCCGGAAAACTCACTGCAATTTAGTGATTCCGGCCATGAAAGCCTTCGACAAGACATTGAAACAGGAAGCGACTTAAAAACTATAATTTGCATTATATGGCATAACACGCACCCAGTGTCTTCCTTTTCGAAATGGGTTTTTAGGGCAAGTTTTTCCTTAAGGAAAGGGAGTCGGTGGCTTGCCAGGTATGGACTACGAACATGATCGGCCCCGACCCGAAACCAAGGGGTCAGGGCTGATGGGAATTGTAGTCCAATCGCTTTTTGGTTGCTTAAAAGGCGCAGAAAAGAGCGGAAAACAGTATGAACTAACATGGGCAGCTCCATCCTCGCTTTGCTTCTTTCCAAAGCTGTCCCATCGACTCTGCTTGGACTGGGCACATCTACACAGTAGAATTAAAGCTATTTGAGGCCTCACAACCTCTGAGGATACCTGCCATAGATGCAGGCCAAACGTCAGGAGACAATGCTTCTGTACAGCCCGGAAAACCTACAACAACCCAGTTTGAGGTCACTTTTAACTGTTCAATGGGATGAAGCAGCAAGAGTGCTTGTTCCTCGTCGCACTACAACTCTCTTGACTCCATAGCATTGAGCCGCAGCAGTTAAAGCGGCGTTACACTGCATTCATTCCACAGTGTAGATGCAGCCTTAGGAACAGTTCACCTCAAAGCATCAACTGCTCATCTAGAGCAATAACTGAAGGCTTCCAAAGCAAGAAATATTATAATTGAGTTGTCGAAGGCTTTCATGGCCGGAATCACTGGGTTGTTGTAGGGTTTTCGGGCTATATGGCCATGTTCTAGAGGCATTTTCTCCTGGCATTTCCCCTGCATCTATGGCAAGCATCCTCAAAGGCATCGATGGCAAGCATCCTCTGGCAAGCATCCTTTCGCCTGCCATAGATGTAGGCTAAACGTCAGGAGAAAATGCCTCTAGAACATGGCCATATAGCCCGAAAAAACCTACAACAACCCAATTATAATTGAGTTATTATTGCATTTTAATTTTTTTATTATAGACTAGCCACCCCCTGCCACGCGATGCTGAGGCCCAGTCTGTATATATGTATATGTGTGTGCGTGTATTTGTGTATATGTGTATATATGTGGTTTTGCACATGTGTTGTAATGTATTTTTGGTGTTGTTTTTTGGCTTTTAAAGTCTCTTCCACTGTGTTTTTCGGTGTTTTTATGAGTGATATTCACTCGTTGGCCTGATAAGTGTATTGTGTCCAAATTTGGAGACAATTCGTCCAGTAGTTTTTGAATTATGTTAATCACACAAACAAACATTACATTTTTATTTATATAGACTAGCCATCCCCTGCCAGGCGTTGCTGTGGCCCAGTCTGTGTATATGTGTGTGTGTGTGTGTGTATGTTTATCCGTCCCCTGCCACGCGTTGCTGTGGCCCAGTCTGTGTATATGTGTGTGTGTGTGTGTGTGTGTATTTGTGTATCTGTGTATCTATGTGTGTTTGTGTGTGTATAGATAAAGATAGATATGTGTGTGGGGAGGTATGTGTGGGTGTATATATGTGTGTGCATATGTGTGTGTGTGTACATGTGTATATATATTTGTTTGCTTATAAGTGCACATGTATATTGTGTATATGCGTGTGCTTGTCTTTATGCATATTTGTGTTTATATATGTGTATGTGTGTGCATGTGTATATTTGTGTGAGAATGTATATATGTGTGTATGTGTGTATGTAGATGTATGTGTTTGCTTGGGTATATAGATACGTATGTGTATGTATGTGTGCATGTGTATATGTATATGTGTGTGTGTGTGTGTGTATGCATGTGTGTGTGTGTATATATAGATATAGATATAGATATATAGATATAGTATTTTGGGGGGTTTGAAGTCTGTTCTGCTGAGGGGGTTTTATTTTAGGGGTGATGAACACTCGTTGGACTTTTAGGTGTCTTGTGTCCAAATTTGGTGTCAGTTCGTCCAGTGGTTTTTGAGTTATGCTAATCCCACAAACAAACATTACATTTTTATTTATATAGATAGATGTTGGACTTGCAGTTGTTTGAAGGGAGAGCCTTCTGGCAAGGTCTGAAAAATCAATTGTAATGATATTCAGGGGCATCTATATTGTTGAATTAACGCAGTTTGGCACTTCTTAGGGCCCTTCCACACGGCCCTATATCCCAGAATATCAAGGCAGGAAATCCCGCATTATCTGAGTGTGGACTCATATAATCCGATTCAAATCAGATATTGTGGGATTTTCTGCCTTGATATTCTGGGATATAGGGCTGTGTGGAAGGGCCCTTTAGTGACCTCCGTGGCTGAATACTACGAGATTCTGGGAGTTGTAGTTCCACATGGTCCTCAGCCTTCTTTACCTTCATCAAACTAGGAGTAAACATTTCAGGATTCCTAAAACCGCTCCTGACTTAAGGCTGCATCTACACTGTGGAATGAATGCAGTGTGATGCCGCTTTAACTGCCGCAGCTCAGTGCTATGGAGCCATTGAGTTTAGGCGTCAAACCGCATTCATTCGACACTACGGACGTCATTTTGGGTTTGCTGAAGACAGGCACCCGATTGCA